CAGGAAAGTATCAGGGAAGGGAAGGGTTAAAGGCCCCCCATGTAGGGCTGCCAACCTCCAGGTGGAGCCTGGAGATTTCTCGCTATTACAATTGATCTCCAGATGACAGACATCAGTTCCCCTGGAGAAAATGGCTGCTTTGGAGGACGGACTTTAGGGCATTATACCCTGCTGAGGGCTGCCCCCACTCCCTAAGCCATGCCCTTCCCAGGCTCCATAAAGAATCATAGAGCTGGAAGGGACCTCCAGGGTCATCTAGTCCAACCCCCTGCACAATGCAGGAAATTCACAAATACCTCCCCCACACACACCCAGTGACCCCTGTTCCATGCCCAGATGATGACAACCCCCCCCCCCCAGGCTCTCCAGACAAACTGGCCTGGAGAAAAATGGCTTCCTGACCCCCAAAGTGGAGATTGGCATTTCCCTGGGCGTGTAAGAAAGGGCCACAAAAACTAAGCACTGAGGCCACCCTTCCTGCCCTCCCTTCTCGTGATCTGCCTGAGGTTGCCAGATGCTCCCTGGCCACTGATGGGGGATGAGGGAGTTTATGTTGCCAGATCCAGGTTGGGGAATGTCTGGAGATTTGGGGATGGAGCCTGGGGAGGACTGGGACCTCAATGCCATAGAGTCTGCCCTCCAAAGCAGGGCCGGCTCACTCACTAGGCGAACTAGGCGATCGCCTAGAGCGGGATGGCCCTTAGGGGCACCAAACTGCACCCGGCCCCGTACTCTGGGAGTTTCTTGATTATTTGTGTTTTTTATTCTTCCTAAAATGCATTTATTTTTGAAAATTGGTGGGCGCACGGGGGGGGGCATAAGGGATCCTCGTCTAGGGTGCAAAATAAGCTGGAGCCGGCCCTGCTCCAAAGCATCCATTTTCTCCAGGGGAACTGACCTCTGTAGTCTAGAGATGAGCCTTAATTCCAGGGGACCCAGCCTTCTGCTCACTGAAACAGGCCATTCCCTGATCTTGTATCCTTTTCTTCTTTTGCATCTGAACTGACCATGGCCCACCCTCCACCCTTTCGCTCAGTCGCTCCGCTGTCAGACCGCAACGCCGGCCACAAATCTCCTCACCGTATGCTTGCTGCTGCCCAGGATAGCTTTGCTGATTTGGGTACTGCTGCTGCGTATACGTCTGCTGTTGCGCAGCTCCCTGTTGGTATCCCGCTTGCTGCTGGCTGTACTGGGAATTTCCTAGAGAGAGAAGATGGAGAGTCTTGATCGACTGGCTCGGCACAATCCAAGAGAGACGGTGGGCTGTCATCAGAAGGCCGAATTAGAATCTGGGGGACCTGAGTTCGGATCCCCGTTCCGTCAGAAAGCTTGCTGGGCGGGCCTTCAGCTAATGCCTCTGTCTCAACCTAACCCGCCTTGCAGGGCTGCTGAAAGGACAAAATGATGGAAGAACCACCCTGTTTGCGGCTAGGAACGTAGCCAGTGGTGGGACTGTAGGGGCTGCGCCCCCCTATGATTAGGGCAGCGCCCCACCACAGCACAAGCTTTCCTTCCCACTCACCCCACCCTTTGCCAGGCAGCAGCAAGACAGCTGGCATTCTCTAATGGCCCACCCAAGCTTTCGTGAGTCACTGCTCCGAACGGAGAGGGAGGAGGAGAGTCACTTGAGGTGACTTCACAAGTGGCATCACCACATGTCGGGGGGCATGACGCCCCCCCAGTCCAAAGCCAACCCCCCGGGCGAATTTCCTGGCTATGGGGCTGTTCTTGGCTCTGAGGGCCTTGCAGAAATGTCAGGATTTTTTAAAAAGGAACACGCAGATAGATCCACACAGACGCGGTTTAGATCAAGATGGGTAGCCGTGTTCGTTTGTCCGTGCCGGCAGAAAAGAGCAAGCGTCCGGTAGCACCTTAAAGACTAACACAATTTGTGGCAGGGTCGGAGCTCTCGAGGGTCGCTGCTCGCTTCAGCAGTGACTCACGAGAGCTCATGCCCGGCTACAAATTTTGTTCGTCTTTAAGGTGCTACCAGACTCTTGCTCTTTTCTAGACCTGGCTGAGGAGCTCTACAGTGCTCCACAGGGAGCCAATGGGAGAAAGTGATGTATAAGCCTGAGCAACCAGGGCAGAAGGGACCATGTCCTAGCATGTGAGAGAGAGAGAGACAGACAGACAGACAGAGACCAAGGCTGCAATCACATGCGCTAGCTGAAGCGGAGGGGAACTGAGGCTATTCCCTCCGGAGCAATCTGACCCGCAGTTGGGAGATCACACCTCCCTTCGTAGCTGCCGGTACAGCCCGTCACAGTGTGATCAGCCGCAACTGTGGGTGAGTCTTTTTTTTTTTTTTGCCCTTTTTTTTCCAAGTTGCATAAACGAGAATCGCCCCTTCCCCTCTAAGGTGAGTTAGTGTGAGCTAGCTCACAGTTTTTTACCCTCCGGCTCCCACATTTTTGCCTTCGCACAGGAAGGAGGGCTCCAGAGCAAACTAATATATGCAGCAGCCAAGTTGCTCACTCACAACTTTAATGCCAGTAGCTCACAAAGTAGAATCTTTGCTCACAAGACTCTACAGCTTAGAGGGAGCATTGCTGAGGGCCCCCTATGGAGTATGCGATGATGCGCATACTGCGAAGGGGGGGGGAACGGCACAGAGCCAGGATGGCCTGATCAGACCATCTCGACAGCTTTAGAGCGTGCTTGAGCAATCAGACAAGGGAAAGTTCGTCCATGGCCCGTCGGAACCCGTTTACTACTGGACTTTCCCCGGTGTCTTTTAACACCGCTTCTGCAGTGGAGCAGCGTGGGTTGCCGATGACTGCAGGACGCTTCCCAGATGTTGCTGTCTGATTGCTCCCTTTAGAGCCATCAGGCATTTGCGCCTATGTCAGATCTAAACACGCATATGATCGCAGCCAGAGAGAAAGAGAGAGAGACACAGACAGATATTCTACACCCCCCAGCATGCTTCAGCCAAATTCTCGGCCTCTTCCCAAAATTCCACCACTGTGTCTTTACCCACATAACACAGGAAAAGGAAGGGTAGCACTCAATTCTGGCAAAACCATAAAGCTGACCTCTGAGCAGGAGCAGGAGACAGAGCTGCTAGAGGGGTGACTGTTTTTTTACTTGCTTTCAGCTGAGGGGATTCAGCTGGGGATATTGTGTGGGAGAACTGTGTTTGGGAGTATGTGAAAGTGATTAGAGTTGTTGCAGAGTGCTGGCTGCTTGAGCGAGGGAGAGGAAGGGGCATTGTTTGACTGTGATTGACTGTCATTCAGTATTTAAGAAAGCACCTTGCCAGAGGCACAAGCCTCTGGCAAGAGCCGAAGGGCGAGCTAAAGGGCTCTTTGCCTGTGGCTCTGAGACTAGGGACTCTGTAAGAAGCCCAAGAAGAGCCAGAAAGCCAAGGCCCTAGGCTCTTTGTCTTCCCCGTAATTTGACTTCGACAAGAAAATACAAAGGGTTTTAAAAGGGGGATTATATTTACTTATTTTAAAACAATGATGAAGCCAGAATGCCAGCAGGGGGTTGGGGGCTATCCAGTGTTTTGCACGGAGTGTCACATGTATGACTATCTGCCCACTGGACAGAGGTTTTGGGTGTGTGCTCGGTGCAAGGAGCTCCTGGTTCTCAGGGAACATGTGTGCTCCCTTGAGGCCAAGGTGGCTGGCCTGGAGAAGCAGAGACAGTCAGTCAGGCGCACAGAAAAGACTCTCGGGGACTTGTTAGATATGTCCCACTCTGGATCTGGCAGCCCCGCCGCTGTCAGGGAGCATGAGGGTCAAGGGCACCGTGCTGAGGATAAGGGGAATGTGCCCTCAGAAGGGACCTCTTCCCCAGCTGGTGAGCAGGTATCCTTTCGCACCAAGGAACCATCCCTGGGCAGGGTGGGAAGGGGGCTCTTGTTAGTTGGAGATTCGATCCTTAGGCAGGTAGACAACTGGGTGGCGAACCCGGGTACTGACCATATGGTGACTTGCCTGCCTGGTGCGAAGGTAGTGGACATTACGCGTGTTTTAGATAGGCTGGTAGATAGTGCTGGGGAGGAGCCAGTGGTCGTGGTGCATGTCGGCACCAACGATGTGGGGAAATGCAGTCGTGAGGTCCTGGAGGAGAAATTTAGGCTGCTGGGCAGGAAACTCAAGGCCAGGACCTCCAAGGTAGCCTTCTCAGAAGTGCTACCTGTTCCACGCGCAGGGCCGGAGAGACAGGCACAGATCAGGAGTCTCAATGCGTGGATGAGACGATGGTGTAGGGGGGAAGGGTTCAGGTTTGTTAGGCACTGGGATACTTTTTGGAACAAGAGGGAGCTGTACAGGCGAGACGGTCTCCACTTGTCCCAAGAAGGAACCAGGCTGCTGGCGCTTAAAATCAAAAAGGTGGCAGAGCAGCTTTTAAACTGAATATTGGGGGAAAGCCGACAGGAGATGAAAAGTCTCTGGTTCGGGTTGGCTCATCTCAGAGAGATGAGGGGGTACCTGTTGCTTTTCTACAGGGAGGTGGATTGAAATTGTCCACAGAGGCCATGGCTGGTGACATGGACTGCCGGACAACGACTCGAGATAGCAAGAGGAAGGATGCAGGCTTAACTTGTAAGGGAAATTACAGCTGTTTCTATACAAATGCTAGAAGTGTCCGAGGTAAAATCGGGGAGTTGGAGTGCTTGGTGAGGGAGGGAAAAATAGACATTGTGGGTATTTCTGAAACTTGGTGGGATGAGGAAAATCAGTGGGACACAGTGATTCCCGGTTATATATTATATCGGAAGGATAGGGGGGGAAGGGTTGGAGGTGGGGTAGCTCTGTATGTCAGAGAGGGTATAAAGTCTAGAAAGATTGAGAGGCTAAGTGAATTGGATTCGCTTCTGGAAGTTCTATGGGTTGAAATAGGGGGGCCAAAAGGAAACTTAACACTGGGAGTTTGTTATCGCCCACCAGATCAAAAGATAGAGGAGGATTATAAAATGATGAATGCCTTAAAGATAGCAACTAGACAAAAACACTGTGTAATAATAGGTGATTTTAACTACCCACACATTGATTGGGTCAATATGTGTTCTAGCCGGGAAAAAGAGATTGAGTTTCTAGACACTCTAAATGACTGTGCTATGGAGCAGATGGTCACGGAACCTACCAGGGGAGAGGCGATCCTTGATTTGGTCCTAAGTAACACTCAAGACCTGGTGAGAGATGTAAAAGTGATTGCACCGCTTGGAAACAGTGATCATAATGTTGTTGAGTTCATCATTTGTACAAATAGAGAATTGGCCAAAAAGACTCACACAACCATTTTTAACTTTAAAAGGGGTAATTTCTCTGATATGAGGGGACACGTGGGGAGGAAACTGAAAGGAAAAGTAGAAAGGGTCAAAACAATTGGGGAAGCTTGGGATCTATTTAAAACTACGATCCTAGAAGCTCAAAAAATATATATTCCGCAGGTTAGGAAAGGCACAAACAGGTATAGGAAAAAGCCTGCATGGTTAACAAACAGAGTAATGGAGGCTGTAAAAAGTAAAAAGAATTCCTTTAAGCAGTGGAAAGCTAGTCACAGTGAGGCTGATAAAACGGAACACAGGCTATGGCAAATAAAATGCAAGTCTGAGGTCAGGCAGGCAAAAAGGGAATATGAGGAGCATATAGCAAAAAACGTAAAAACCAACAATAAAACTTTCTTCAAATACATTAGAAACAGGAAACCAGCCAGGGAGGCAGTGGGGCCCTTGGACGACCAAGGGGTAAAAGGAGTATTGAAGGATGATAGGGAAATGGCTGAGAAGCTAAATGCATTTTTTGCCTCCGTCTTCACTGTGGAAGATGAGAAGTGCTTGCCCACTCCAGAACCACTGATTTCAGGAGGGGTGTTGAAAGACCTGAGTCAGATTGAGGTGACGAGAGAGGAGGTCCTAAAACTGATAGACAACTTAAAAACTGAAAAATCACCAGGCCCAGATGGCATACATCCGAGAGTTCTGAAAGAACTCAAATGTGAACTTGTAGATCTCCTGACAAAGATATGTAATCTTTCCTTAAAATCTGCCTCCATTCCTGAGGATTGGAAGGTAGCTAATGTCACTCCCATCTTTAAAAAGGGTTCCAGAGGAGATCCGGGAAATTACAGGCCAGTCAGTCTGACGTCGATACCGGGTAAATTGGTGGAAACCATTATTAAGGAAAGAATTAGTAGGCACATAGATGAACAAAACCTATTGAGGCAGACTCAGCACGGTTTCTGTA